CACCCCAGTGTCTGATAGATATTTGCTATACATTGTTGATTTCACATGACACTTCACATGGTATAGCTAAAGCTAGGTTTATTTGTCTTAATAGTATTTTAACTTAATGAGCATAGTTATACTGTTAATCACATTAGTACAATCCCATGGAAATCATCACGGGTTACAGAGCCATAAATGAAAGCAGGAATTCAGCCCATTATATTCTGGAGGCAACATACTTTAATAGCATTTCTGCCCAGTTCCCAACCAAGAGAACATAATTCTTTTGGGCAGTTACTGATAGGTGGTTAATCTAACTATTCTTGTAGTACGTGTATCTTGTTGCAGAAATTGTGCATTTAGGTAACAATGTAATGTATCATTTTACCAACTATAACTCTAACCTTAATGAGCAATTTAACTTACTGTATGGCAGCTTTAATTTAGTACAAGCAGTTGCATTAAATGAACCATATTACAGACCCAATTAGACAGCAACCACATTAAAGTAAAAAAGTAAATCTGTTTTCCATCAGCAGTGATAGAACGCAAAGCAGATCTGTATAGCTCTATGTTATCCTATAGCGTGTTAATCAGATACAAGGTGTGACGGAAACCAGTGACAAAGGGGACCCCTGATAGGGAACAGACACAGTCTGATAATAGGCCAGTTAACGCTTCATAATGTTTCAGTGGTTCAGCAGTAAACAAAGTTGGATGTAGAACTTCAAAAAGGATGGCGCATTCCATGCAGAATCAAACCATACATCTTCCATGACACTTAGGGATTTATGGGAACAGAATGCTTAAAACAGTGATGTCAGAAGGTTCCGAGGAGAATAAAATCAACCTCCAAGTATTCTTCCCTTTTTATGTAACAGCATATAAAATGCTCAGCTCCTTACAGCATGTAGAAAAAAATTAGGAAGACCAACTCCACCCATGCTCCCACACCTACTTCACCAATGGTCTAACATTTGAAAGGTCTGATGGACTTTGCCATTGTTAGTGTGTACCATAATCTTCCTAGTCTTCATATTTCATTTCTTGAAAAATGGTATCTTCAAGTGAAGAAGGCTTTTAATGTTTCTGAATTTAAATCCTACAACACATTTTTAGAAATTAACAAGATTTTGGGGGTTCTTGGGAGTTGCTTTGATCTTAACTTATTTGTTTTAGTTTCCCTGAACCTTCACCTCTAGTCATATGACCCTGGATTTTCTCTTTTGCACCAAACTCTTGAAGCTTTTCCATAATGTCACATTTTCCTGTGGAGAATATTCAGAAATTATGGCCTTCATGCAGCAGTAATAGGATGAGATTCTCAGCTCTGTTATGTAGGATGTCAGACTGCATGATTATAACTAGATTCTTCAAGCTTTAAAATCTATGTTCAGTTGCCACAAATAGAATCCTGGACAAAATGGACCCTTGTTCATATCCGGTATGGCAATTCTTTTATTCCTAAAACCCAGTAGCCTTATACTTACTTTGAACATTTTAGAAAAGCACCAAAACTTACCTGAGATGATAAATGTGGTGTTATGTTAAAAACCACATGTATACCAAAGAGACAGATGGCTCCATGCCAGTATAATTCACCAGTCCTCTGCCAACTTTTGACTCTGAGATTTAAAGAGAAGATATAATAAGTCTTTTGTGTTCAGCTGTTATATCTGACAAGCAGCTTTTATAATGCTGTGAAGCTGAACTGTTTGTGCAAATGAGATCAAGATCAAAATTCAGGAAAGGATGAAGATACTTGTATGCACCATTTGTTAAATGTGAAACTAGGAATGAAGCCATCAGCACTGTTCCTGTTGGGAACCTTTTAAAGTAAACAAGCCAATGCAAAAACTATTTAATTTTTTTACAAATTAATCTAATTTGCTATTTGTTTATTTTTTTCCTCCTTGTAATCATCGTTTCTGGGAATGGTTTTCTTGGGATTACAGAACAGCCTCTGGCAGTTACAAGGTGTTTCTCTAAAGCTTAAAAGGAGCTTAAGGCTGCTGAGGGTTGACATAATAGATAGCCCACAGTTTAACTCTGGCAGACACAGACACAACAAAGGAAATGTTTCCAAGATGCTGATCAGATGTCATCACCAAAAGTTGCACCCTTTCATTTTTCACATATCACGTTATAAATCTTCCTGGAGATGAATTTACCTTTTCTGAGGATTTTTTTTTACTTTGTGCTGCTAGTTCTAGATTTTTCTTTCATTAAAAGTGAGTTACAGCAAGAAGAAAGTGTAGGGCCCATCTATTATTATTATTCTTTATCTTAAGCATGTTGTGGTTATATATAGGTAACAGGAATTCACATTGCAGCATTTGTCTTCCATGCTTGAAGCCATCGAGGGCTCTGAAAGCCTGGTGATCCAGTGTTTTGTGTACATAAAGCCATGGAGCAGACAGTGGTTTGAATTGCAGCCTCTTGTGCTCCAGGATAGCAAGAGAATGAAAATCCCAGTGGCCTGGTGACCAATGTATAAATAGGATAAGAAATAAAATCTAAGATATGTTTTCAGAAGTTTAAATCTGTGCCACAGATGTGTCTGTGGAAACCAACCTCTGAAGGTGTGTGCATTGATGAGCTTTCAAAATGGGAAATCCATATCCTGCTTTGTGACCAAAGAAACAAGGCTGCTTTACTCCCATTAAAGCAAAATTCTAAAATCCATTAGTAATGGAAAAGCATTTCTGATGTTGCACAATGCAGTATGGTTTCCTGTGAAGTCTTCGAAGCTCAGAATGGAAGTTCAGATGTTCCTCCTGATGGGGAAATGAACCAGACTTGTTTCTTAGGCAGGGTTTGTGTTACAGGGGAGCTGTGGAGGGGGAGGGTTGTGCC